AGGATGGTAGCCTACTGTAAATGTAGCAAAGAACTTGGGTTGGGTTTATAAGCCTAGTACATTAGCAGTTTGAGTTATATGCCACTTTGAAGGCACCACAGAATTTAAACAGAATATCAAAGTATGGAAAATAAGTCAATATTCAGTTTAAGTAGGATTGAGTACAATACAAAAGCTTTCTTTGGATAAATAATTTCCTGTCTTATAAGAAGGTGAGCAATACCAGTGTAGAACAAGCTTCCTCTTAAAAGCTCTGGTCTTGTGGTCAGTCATCTTTCTGAAGTGTAGCCTCAAGTTCCTTTGGCCTTGGTTATTTTTTGTTTGTTTGTTTGTTTTTAATTATTTTTCCTTTATGTGGTTTGCCTCTTCTATGTTAGAACATACGATAGTTGCAATAACAGCCTTGCTAAATGTGTACAGAATTCTGTAGAACCTCTGGACTCTATAAGATAAAGTGAAGAAACAGAGCTGTTAAATTGGCTGGGGAGAAGATTTTTCATTGAAAACGTTATTTCTGGTTTGGCTTTCAAAATAACATGGATTACTGGAGTGGCAGTATATGTCCATAGGTAAAGCTGTAGCACGCAGAGGAGAGGAAAAATAAGAAAGCAATGGAGAGAAGAAAGCAGGAGAAGAGATAGATGAGAGTATGTAACAGCAGCGAAGGACAAGTGAGTGATTTTTTTTCCCCCCCCCCCCCCCCATTTTAATTTCTATTCCTTTATTTTGACTTTTATACTCTTGTTCACCAGTTGTCACCAAATTTATGGTATTAGAAGCAAATTAAAAAAAACAAAAACCCAAACAAACCAAACCCTAGGCTTTTAGTATATTGTATGTAAGATTACTCTAGGGCTGCAGGAACTGTCCTGAGTTACTAATATTGAACTTGCATTGACTCCTTCCTTTGTTCTTTCCCTCCTTGCACCTCACCCCACCCCCCACCCTGCTTTTTGGGGGATTTTTTGGTTTGTTTTTTTTTCCCCTGGTAAAACACATACTTGTAATTTTTTTATTTCACTCAGGTAATTAATAACACAGCTGGCTTTTAAAACTTTCCTGGAAGCCATTTAATTGTGACTGATTCTTAATGACCTATGTAGGAGGAAAAAATACAGGAGGAAAGTTAATCTGGTATTTTTTCATAGTGGACTTATGCTGTGGAGTTGGGGTGAAATGTGTGTGTGTATATGTATATACATATATGTATATACAGTGGCTAGTGCTTTTGAAGAACAGTGTTGACAGCAAAGGCAACTAAAATGGATTTAAAATACAGTATTTACTATAGGTAGCGCTCCTAGTGCCACCTGTATTTAAGGTTGTGTGACCTTTCCATTTTAAGGCTTACCTCTTAGTTACTTTATAACTTTTGCCCAAGTTCAGTTCAGACAGATTTTTCCATGCCAGATGTCTGCTTTGGGTTGAATTTTTTGAAAGTTTCAGCCAAAGCAGTTCTGTTCCAAGAATAAGGCTAGTGACAAGTATGCTATTTTGCTTGAGTGAGAATATTCTGGTGTCCTTCTTTGATGCTCCAGTGCCCCCAAGCTCTGAAGCAAGGATTTGAAATTTGGCAATAGTTCAGTCTTTGTGTTGGGGATGTGCCTTTTGCCTCCCTGTAAAAATCCACCCAAATTTCCAGACCGGTTTACAAGGCTTTGAAAGATTGCCATTTGCATGGGCTTCATAGGAATTTCTTAAAACTTCACAGTAAGCTTCCTTTAGATTCTTTTCACACTGGGAATGCTTCAGGCAGAGTAGAGCTGCGTATTTCATCCCACTTCTGCTAGGAATTGTAATGGCTGGATGTGGGTGCTGACATTGAACTAAGAGTGGGCAGCATTTTGTCTTGTACCACCACCGCCTATTCCCATGTCTTATTCCTTGCCCCTGGTGGAGGACCTGGGCCCTCAGGAAACTGTCTCAGTCATCTGAAAGAGCATGACAGATGTGGAGGAGAAGAATTTAGGAGCGTATGTGTGTCTGGTTTGTACCATTCCTTTGGTTACAGAAAATGTGTATCATACTGGCAAAATATTACTTCCTTTTCTAGTGGATGTTCAGATAATAGTAATTAGGTTTTGTTGCATTTAAACTTCAGTAGTTGAGTGGGTTTTAATCATTTTGCTAAACTATGTAGGCATCAACTGAAAAAAAAAAAAGACTCAAAAAATGTCACAGTACTTTAATGTTACTTAGGGCAAAAATCAAGAGTTCCCTTTCAAACATTTAAGTTTAACTTGGACCTCTTGCATTTAATACATTGTAGTACAGCCTCAACTTCGCAAGTGTCACATGCATTGTCCAAGGGGCAACTATTTGCTTGGAATGGGGAAAGGGTCTATTCTGGGGATGAGTCCAGGATTTGTACAGTAAAAGATGCGTATTCAGCTGTTACAGAAGTTGGAATATGTTGAGTAAGTGAAGCAGAGATTTCAGGAGTGAAAAAAGGGCTTTATGGCTAGGACAGTTGAATGCTTCTTGATGAATTGTGTGCAGTCTGTGCTTAGTCACTGTGTTTTTACATGGTACACTGAAATAACTATTCCATACTGGTTGTTCCATACTAGCTGGTTTGAGAACTTGTCAATTTGCACAAATGCAGGCACTTACAGCTGCAAGTGAACTCAGCAGGAGCTAAACCTCATGTGAAATATTGTATGTTATTAAGGATAGTAAAAATCAGGTTCAAAGTGTATCAAATTTAACATCTGGAACTAGGGAATATTTTGATCTAATTAACCTAATGCCTCAGTCCCCTGTTTTAAAGATGTAGAAATTACTTGCCCCATCTCTGTAGAAAGGCTCATGTAGAAATTGGTTGCCTTTTTAGCAGGGCTGAAAAATTACATGCTATAAATAAAGCATACGACCACCTCCCACTGATCAGGAATGAAGCAAAGCACTGATAAGTATGTAGTCAAAAGTTTATTTATGTAAAAAGATAGAAATATGTTATTACACCAGTAAAATAACCTTTGTAACTCTTAAATTCCCAGTGCTTACCTTTATGACCCTAATTGTTCCCTTAAAATAAAAGATACTATTTTCTCTGCGAAGTTAATAAGCATCAAACATCCTTTTGTACAAATTGTCCAATCTTGCTGATTCCTTGGTAACTCTCTTGGTTCTGGAGCTGGAGTCATTATTTCACTCTGCAATTTTTCCAGTGAAGCATGCAAACATGAACTATATTGAGTCTGGCTGAAACCAGTGATGTCAACTCTTAAGAAAGCAGTGCTTTATTTTAGTGTATTAACTAACCCATTTAGTACTCATCCAAGCATAAAAGTTGCAGTATCAGAGCACTGGAACTTGGAGTTTGTAAACTGTGAGAATAACATTGAAATACAAGTTTAATTAGCAATAACCTTTTAATTCTTTCCTAAATTGTAGCCACCTTTCCTTAGTACTAGTTGAATAAAACATTATTGAGATCCTCATCCACTTTGGCAATGGGAAGCATACTTGCTCAAACTGATGACTACCACCTCACCAGGGTGAATTTTGACTTTGTAAAGCTTCAACAGTACATCATTTCTATCACTTTGTGAGCCCAACTGTTACCTAAAGTTTCCTATGCAAAAAAAAGGTTTTGTAGGTTTTTTGAAAGAGACAGGGTTACAACAAATAAGTGATTGTGTGTTTGTGGAAGTGTCTAGCTCCCAGAGTGAAAAGATTTGCTGCTAACTTTTAGTGAATTTAATGCTTTGGAAATTATTTGTTGGAAAGCTGGCAGCAGTGGAGAGTTTTAGTTTGTGGGTTTCTCTCTTCAGGTGGAGGTTTGAGAGGAGGTTTTTTTTTTTCCTTGAAACTAGTCATCAAACTTTTTTTACTTGTTTCTTGGGTCATTCCTTCAGGGTGTTTGCTGCCTCTGAAACAGTAGATCTCAGGTGGATCTTTTAAAAGCTCCAGCAAAGGCAAAGCATTTGACAGAATGTTTGTCATGCAGTATTTTCTGGAAAAAGATGGGAATTTTAGATGGCTCAGAATCATAGATCTTGGAGGAACTAGGCTGCTAAGAACAGCAGTCTTACTTGCTTAGCAGTGTGAAATCCACTTGCTTGTGGACAACTGTGTTGGGTTTTGTTTTGTTGGTTCCCCCCCACCTCAAGACTTCTGCTTACTTGTGTGCTCTTCCATATGTGTTTTGAGCTGTGCTTTGAAGTTGGGCAACTAGCTTTAACCAAAAGTTTAACCACACTTCTGCATAGCATCTAGCTTGATTTCAGCATGCTGATGTGTCAGTGATGTGGTTTAGAGTTAACAAAATGCAATTCTTTGCTTGCTTTGACATTGGTTTCCATGGGATTAAAATTAAAACAAAAAAAAAATCATATTACACTCTTTGTATAAAAGCCGAGTCAAAATGGACCATAGAACGTGATTAAATGGCTGTGCAGCAATTATTAATTGGTTGGGCATCTGTCTTGACAGATAGATGAGACAAAGTCCATGAGGTATCCTGTGTTTTCTCCTCTGTCACCTTCCTTTTCCTCCTTCCCAAGTCTCCTAATAATCTTAGGATTTTTTGAAAACCCAGACTTTGTGTGAATTCAGTTTCCTAAAAAGTCATTCTAGAATACTGTAGTTCAGAGTGCCCAGATAAAATAAGATGCGTATTTTCTGTCATCTTTGATCAATGTACTTCAGTAGCAAGATCCAAATAGTACTGCTTTGACTTTCTTAAATTTATACTCAAGTCTGTATTTTTTATGTTGATTTTTATTTTAAGGTTAAGGCACAAAATGAAGGGTAGATTCAGAAAGGCAAAAGCAAACTTTTGCAGATTTAAAAAAAGCTGTAGTCAGCTGAATTATTTGTATCCAATTACACCAGCAGTAAATTAGTTGTGAGTAATCTGTAATATTTCAAATTAATTTGAAAAAGTAACTAAAATCTAATTTGCAAGACTCTGTTAAATTGGTTTAATATGTGTTCATATATTAAGTACATTAGATGTTTCTGAATGTTTTGCTTTTCTGTCTTGTTTTTGGCAGCAACTTGAATTAGTGGAACCAAGCGGCTGGATTCATGTTCCTTTAACAGATACTCATAAGAAGCCTATTCGCACGTTTATGATTCAGATTGCTGTTCTAGCTAATCACCAAAATGGAAGAGACACTCATATGAGACAAATCAAAGTGTACACCCCCGTGGAAGAGAGCTCTATTGGTAAATTTCCTCGATGCACAACGATTGATTTCATGATGTATCGCTCCATAAGATAAGATTTCTGAATGAGAAATAATAAAGGCATTTTTTGATGGACAGTATCATTGCTTAAGTATTCAGATACTTAAAGAGCAGGCTTTACTTCAGTGTAATTGTATGTTTATACTTTGTACAATTTTGAAATAAAGATCATCAGTGCTACAGTATATCGTAGTCTGTAGTCTTGCATGGCTTTTGCTTGGAGTCTTTGAGTGCTCTTGTATTACCTGGTTTAAAGACATTACCACTAGTGTTTTCCCATCATTGCTTGTGATAATGTGTTGTACCCTTTTCTGTACAGGGTTTTTTTCTGGTTAATGACTGACTGGATGGAGTTAGCCTTCTTTATAACTGCAAAGTAGATGATGGAATTATAGAATATCTCAAGTTGGAAGGGACCCCTAAGGATCATCAAGTCCAAGTCCCTGCTTCTTGCAGGACTATCTAAAACTAAATCATATGAGTAAGAGCATCGTCCAAATGCTCCTTGAAGTCTCATGAGCTCAGTGCCATGACTACTTCCCTGGGGAGCCTGTTACAGTGACAAATAATACAATAAAGGTGACAGTGACATGAAGAAAACCAAACCATTCCAAAGTACTCAATATAGTATATACATTAATATAGATATACTGAGTATATAGGTCATCTAAATGTGGTAGCTGTTCAAAACAGAGAGAGAGTTAGGAATGCTCCAACATCCTACAATAACATAGGAATGAATGTGAAGGTCTAGTGCACCTTCTAAAGTACTCAGAACTCAAATGTGTAATACAAGGTAAACTTAGACTCATAGTATGGAGTTTCTCTAATGTATTTTAAAGGAAAAAAAAAACCCAAAAAACAAAAGAAAAACAACCCATCAAACAACAAAAAAAACCAAACCCAAACCAAAAAACAACCAAAAAACCCAAACAAACATTGCAAGGAAAATGTATGCTTCATCTGCTATGAGTAGGAATATTTAACACTTCTAATAATGTCTCATAATCTAATTACTAGGGTTATTTTACCTTCTTAAAAAAAACAAGTAAGTTTTAGAAAGAGGCTGTTGATGTACAAGGGTTTCTGTTAAAAAGTTCAGAACTGATCAACTCATTCCTTTTCCTAGCACCATGAAAGTTGATGGTAAAACAGACTAATGTCAGCCAAGGAAAACTTCTAACACTTTTGTTAATTGTGAGCAAGGAGAGGCTAATAATAGTGGAGGCTCATCAAACAGTGATACAGCATCCTCCAGAGCAGAAAGGAGCTGAAACAGAGGAAAATGGGAAGGTTGTTAAAGATTTAGTTGTTCCAAAGAAACTTCGAAGTATTCTTTTCTGTTACCCCTGATAGGTTTCAGCTTGTTCAACTACACTGTCTTGACTACTTATACTGCTATTCTGAAATCACGGATGGTGTTCAAGGAATGTTACGAAGCTGTGTTAAACTGGGTGATGTTAAGCTTTACTGTTAGGAAGGGGAACTGCATTTACAAAATGAATGTAATGCGGTCTTTTAGTAGATGTTAAGATGCACAAAGCTCTTTAAAGGTTAAGGCTGTAGTTAGACGTTATACTTCTATCAATAGCAGATCCTGTGTGAAGCTGCACATTCCAATGTTTGTTTCTACTCTATTGTGAGAAATGACCATCTCCATGGTTGAACCTCTTCAGATGCTTCAGTGGCTGTTCACTGAACTGCATCTGTGAAACAGTGTGATCCTTGATCCTTGGCCTTTTAAAATAAGTATATTCTTAGTGTTGGGTGGAAGTAAATAATCTATGGTAGAAATGTAGGAATGAACAGTGAGTCATGATGATGAGGGTGGGAGCAGATTAAAAGGGAGAGTACAACTAGTAAATCCTTCAACTGCTGCTGACAGTCGTGTATGACCATACCTGAAAGGCAGTATAAAAACGCAAACTCATTTCTACAGTTTGTGTCTTGCTCTTTGATACTTAGTGCTGCTTGAAAACAAGTGCAGTGGCCATTCTGAATCTATGTTGAATCTTTTCTATGTTGTTTCATAACAAATATATATACTTTGCATTGGTATTTAACATCTGTGCAAGTATACTTGTGTTTTAATATTTTTGGTGCTTAGTCAGAGAAGGCTGCTAATTTTTAAGTGATTAGATTGTAGGGGATTGTCTGAAAATAAATCAAGCTACTGCCTTTGTGTATTAATATAGTACTTGGTGTTTGAATCGGGATAAACAAACTGGTCTGCCAAACTATTGCATAGAAGTTACTACACATGCATTGTGTTTAGCTGCTACTTCTTTTTTCTTGCTCATATTTTTCAGACACAGAATTGTGAACTTTCAAATCGAAAGAGTAATTTTATGTGACTTAAGTACCAAAATTACCGAGCATACAAATATTTCCAAAGACAGAGTTCAAGAACAGAAAGTTCTTGTAATGTTAATTTAGTTAAAGCTTATATATTGCTTAGCCACATGCTTCTTTGGAAGGTGTCAACAAGTGCTGTAAATTACAGTTAACTGCTAATGTATACTAGAGAATCCAAAATTACAAACCTAAAGAAAAACCAGAATGAGTAACCTTTGCAGTGAAAATTCACAAAAATAAACAATCTTACTGATGTATAAATAGTGCTAATGGAATACTAGAACCATTTTCATACTGATCATGGATTTTCAGGGTTTTAGTGAAAATGGGAATAACATTTTAGCTGTATGTACTTGTCTTCCATATTCACTTCCTCCTCAGTCTGAAAGAGAAATTTCTTCTGCATCCTTTAATAATATCTTGCATTCATAACTATTATGTTTTATTTTTCCCCACATGCACACTTTGACTGCTCTTTGGAAGGAGACAAGTCCTAGGAATCTCTAGTCTTTAGTACGTCCAAGTTGTCAGCTTCTCAGTAGAAATAAATACAGAGCTATATCTCTGAAAAACACGAAGTTGGCAATTGACTTATTTGCCCTACAGGGTGGTTTTGCGAACGTTAACTTCAGGGGATGCTAAGAAGAGACAGGTTGTCAACTTGTTGCCAGTTTAAAGCATACTTTTTCTTCGTGATGAGCAAACAAGACAGCTTCTTCAAAGTGATGAGGAAAAAATAATGAGATATTCACAAATGTGGCTTGCGAAGAATTATAACTGTGTCTAAAGGGCAGTTATGTGCTTATTTTGGCTTGCTTCTCCAAATATGAAAGAGTAGGGTGTACTGGTTAACAAGGACAACTGGTCTTAAATAATTCTGATCCATGGAAAAGAGAGCTTTTACAAAACTTTAAAAGTTTTGAAGGTGTATGCTCCGAAAAGACTTCTTTACTTGTCAATTAGAAACATACAATCTTAGCATTGTATTTAGCAAGCTGACTACTAACTGAAGATATTCAAAGTTTAGAATTGAATTAAAATCAGTGACATGTCTAGTCTAAAGGTTTGTAGGGAGGGTAAGAGGGTGTATATTTGTATTCCATAATGGCCAATATTTAGGCTAATAAAGGTTAAACAATTCATGAGTAACTGTTTTTACTAAAACAATGATCTGAGCAGTATACTATAGGTATGTCCCTATGTGAAAGATGTTTCAGAGGGTTTGGCTGTTTTCCCCTACCCCAAATCACCGAACTTTCCCAGCAGACCCGTAAGGAATTTCCTGGTTTGTTTTTACAAACCGTATCTATAAAGAAGGATACCTTCTTTGCACTGGTGTCCTTCTCCAGCTGGAGACTAGGATCAGAGTGGACAATTTTGTGTTATTACTGTAGCAGTATCGAATATCAAGTAGCAGTAATCCAACAAACTGAACCAAGGGAGTTCAGACTTTTTTGTTTCTCAAGCATTATAAAACTCTGAGAATAATGCTGTCAGGGAGAGTAGTCAGGAGGCCACCTTTAATCTGTGATGGCCTAGTGTGGCCGTACCTTAAAATATTGGTAATTTATAGTTCCTTGTGACTAATGTGGAAAATGGAGGGAACTACAGAGATATTAAAACAAGTAAGGCATGAACTTCCTCTTGTTTAACAATGAAATATAGAAAAATTCCAAGTTAAGCCTCAGAACACTATCTCTAAAGCCCGCTTTCTTTTTTTGGAAAGACACTGATAAGTGGATGAGCACTTAATTTACTTGTTTTCTTTAAAGATGATGGACTAGTGCTCATTAATTTCAATAGAATATTAGGTTAGGTCCTTTTTCATACTGAATTACAGACACTTTTAGGCTTTCAAATTTTTGTTGTAGTCTGGCTAGTAAGATCTCATTATGACTTTACCTCAATCTTTTAAATTTTGGCTGAAAAGTTGGCAGTTTTCTAACTTCAGGCAAGTTATGAAAGTACATCCTGAACTTTTATGTTTAATTGGAGTATCAAAAGCAGAATTATAGGTTAGATGAGAAATGAGAGGTAGGAGTCATCTTGTTTTAACTTGTGCGATGTGGATTCCCCCCCTGTAGCTAGAGCATTGTCCCTCACTGTTGAAGCAGGCAATAGTTAATAATCCTGAGTGAACTCATTGGAAAACTAGAGTGCCATAAAAAGAGATAAGTAACAGACTAGTAGTATATTGAGTGAATCACTATGATTAGCTGTATTACATAGCAAACATTATTATATAGAACTCCTTGATTACTGCTTTGTGTTTTCCATATCTTTTGATTCATCATCTAAGACGTCGTTGCCAAATAGTCTTTGTCTCTTGTATAATAAACATCTGATAAATATTGAATTGTATAAGACTAAGGGTAAGATTTAAATGAAAGGGATAAAATGGAAGATTTATTTGTTCTAAGAAGTAATGACTTTGCAGTGATTTGATTAATCAGTTCAAATAGTAGTAATCTAGAGGGCTTAAAACTTTTTTTGGAAGATACCACACTAGGGCTTTCCACCTTATGGGACAGAAACTTGATTCATAGTGTAGGTGAAAAAGCCTTTCATTAAATTTAACCTGGGGTTAATTTTCTCTGTAGACACTAAAAAGAGGGAAGTTATTGAGTGACCAGGATATTCAGTAACTCCTGTTGAAAGGAATGGGAGTAACTGTGTTTTA